TTGGAATTATTGGTTTTTCATTAGTACCTGAGATAAAGGACAATGAGACACTTTGATTTGAAAATCCGTAACACAGCTGGAGCCTGGAGGTTCCGCCCCCGTTTCCACCCACCGCCACAGAAGCCAAGCGCCAGGCTCTGCCAGCTCAGCATTGCTGGTGTCACTCTTTCATGTTCTGCAATGTGCAAACAGCCCGGTGACGCAGCGGGGTGGTTTTTCATTAGTACCTGAGATAAAGGACAATGAGACACTTTGATTTGAAAATCCGTAACACAGCTGGAGCCTGGAGGTTCCGCCCCCGTTTCCACCCACCGCCACAGAAGCCAAGCGCCAGGCTCTGCCAGCTCAGCATTGCTGGTGTCACTCTTTCATGTTCTGCAATGTGCAAACAGCCCGGTGACGCAGCGGGGTAACGCTGTTTGAACAGTCTCTTCAGTCAAGGATTTTTCTAAAATAAATTGGACACAAATTAATGGATATGCATGTGAGTGGGATATCGCGTAGCACCAGAGGAGTAGAAAATGCAGCATGTTATGGCAGGAAACGAGGCAGGAACGTTTTCTCAGCAAATCTGGCTTGACGAGCTAGCAGGTGGTTGCAGAGGCGAAAGAGGACAGGCTTCTCTTTCACTTTGCAGGACGGATGGAGTTGGTGATGTCCTGGGAGTGAGCTGTGGAAGGAGAGGGGGAAAGGGATGCTCCTGCTTTTGTGTCTCACCTAAAGGATGTTACTTAACATTGCTTACCTACCTAAAGTCTCCCTCTCTACCTTTCCTTTTGCTCCATACACTTGTACTGGTCCTCTAACCCTGCTGCCGCTTTAGCCATGAAGCGTTTCTCTATGCCTGGGTGGGCAGACAGCTGCCTCCTCCTGTGAAGCAAACGGAGTGTTTCATCCATCACGCGCTGTGCAAAATGAAGGCCTTCCTCGCTTTTCTATCACTTAGTTTCATAACTTCCTGCAGATTGCTTCATATAGTCAGATCTGTCTTTTCATCTGACAGCACCTTCCACGCTCTGCTTTCTCAAAATCCCCTGTGAAACTCGCCCATTTTGATCAAATCGCTCTTAAACAGCTTGCTACTGGAGGAAAGGACTTGTGGGTTACTTCTATGCCTTGTGGAGGCTCAAAGCATACGTTTCATGTGTCAGATTTCCTAGGGCATGCTTTGAGAAGACCATCTAGGTTGAGACAAGGCACTTTCGCTCATCCCTGCATAGATGTGGACCATGGCGTTTCTTTGCAAGCTGGACTAGCAGTGATCTCTGTCAGTCCTTGGACATTGTGTCAAAGGGTGACAGGAATGACTCCTGTTTGATCCTGATAATTCAAGATTTCTTTGGGCTGGACTTTTTGGGCTGTCTCTGTTGACCTGTGGCATTGGAGAGCTGGATTCTGCTAAGTGTTTCTAACGGGGCTGGTATCTGAGAGCTGGTATATCTCTGAAACCTGGGGAAGAAGGGATGAAAGAGGAAGCTCCTTCAGCAAGGTGTGAAGGACAATGAGACCTCAAGGACTCTGTGTCTCTAGGAGGACTCCTGGTCAGGGAGGCCAAATGGCTGCCTTGAGGATCGCTCTGTTTAGCGGGGAGTTGGTCTGTACTGTTTGGGATGTGCCAGCAAACGCAGTAACACAGGTTTCATTTCTCAGACGAGGTTTCCTTCATGCTGAATTACACTTTCCTCCGTACTTGCTTGTGCGTGAACACTTCAACACTTGCGCGGGGCTCTTCTTCCAGAAGGCTCTGCCCTCAACGCTGTTGCACGGTGGCTGGGCTGAGCGGGTCACGCACAGCTGACGAGCGTGGCAGCGGATGCTATTTGCCTCTAAGTCCTGGCCAGACACTGAGAGAAGTGATGGACACTACAGCAGTGGTGACTGTGTCTGCTTGGGGCTCATGCTACCCTGCTAAGCCCCCGTCAAGGCAAACGTCCCCTAAATAGCTGTGTGTGTGCATTCCTCCAGAACCGGCTGCCCCCAGTGACACCTTCATGGGACAAGGTGAAAGATCTCAAGCACCTATATGTTCTACTTTCAGATGGCTGCCTTCTGAATGGCTTGTTTGCAGAGCAATTCCAGTCATGTGGAAAACATGACTTCTCCCAGTATATCTCATCAAAATGACCCAAACCATTATGAGAAGGTTATCAAAATGCTTGAATCTGGAATCAGCTTTGTGCTATATAAAGCAAACTAACATTTTGATAGAAGTGTTGGTGTGAATTAAGGTTAAAAAAATAAAAAAGGATTAATTTCCTGTTGCAAAAGGAAGTTTGTTGTGTTTTGGTGTTTTGTTTTGGGGTGGGTTTTTTTGTGTGATTTTTTTTCAATCGTCTCAGAAGGTTTCATGAGAAAGATTCCCTTTGAACATCAGCCAAAGATGGTAGAAATTTTGCTTGGTCTTGTGCCATTTCATGGCACATACTTATTAGCTAACACTTTAGTCAGCCAGTGTGACACAACAGCCAGTCTCTATTTTCTTGCTGATATTGCACCAGCCGCTGCAATATGTAGAAAATTTCCCACCCATACGACACCCCCAGCCATGTGATGGTGACAATTCGGCATTGAGAATATCACGAATTTTTTCACTTTGCCTGGAAGCAGCTCCCAGAAAAGCAATATTAAGCAGTGGTGTTTAATACAGAGGTCCCGAAGGTGCCGGTGGCTGCCGCAGCGTGCCTGGAGCC